AATATATAAAATTTATATATAAATAAATTATTATTTTAAAATAATATAATTTTAAGTTTTTTTTTTTAATTTTTTATAGATACCATTAACAAGCACTTCTCTTATATCATTTTCATTTTAATATTTGATGCAGTAATTTTTTTTTTTTTTTTTTGAGAAAGCAGTAATCCGCGTGTTTTGAATCTTTTGATAAAGGTGCCGGCGCTTTCGTCGTTTCGTGGCTTCCCAAAGTGGAAAAAAAACGAAGAAAATTAATAAGAATACCCTAAAGTCAATAAAATAGATTACTACTATTTTATTAGAACTATCTAATAATTTAATTTAGCGTTCGATTTATCTGATTTATGTTTTAAGAATATAATTAATATATTTTTTATGTTAATTAGTATAAAAAAAATTAAAATTTGATATTGATTATTAATGTTATATATATTATTTTAATTAAATAATTGATTAAATAAATGTTAAATTTTATTTTTTTTAATGATAATTGATATTAAAAAGTTGTTTTTAACTTGTGTTCTAATAATACAAATTAAAAAAAATTCTTTAACCATAATTAATTAAATCCAAGATTGAAGGTGAATGGTTGTTAGGATGCAAAATGGGTCTCGATTATGGAATTAATTTTTAATTAAATTAAATGTCATGTTAAAATCTTATTGGTTGGGAACTTTAGTTTGCTAATTGAGTTAGGTTCATATTGATCGAAACTTTGGTAGATAATCAATAATAGCCCCATGCGTTTGTCCCGTGGGAAAGTTATTAAAAAAAATTTAACGCGATTAAATAATTAAAGGATCTAGGTTTGCTCAAGATTTTGGGTTGTTCTAAAAAAAGGAATATATAGGCACCACTCAGCAGGATGTTAGAGCCCCAGTTAGTTGTTGGCCAACCTAATAATGCCTTGGCCGGTGCCAACGTTCCAAGCCACTGTAATGCCGTGCTAGGGTACCTCTTCCCCTACCCGAAATTTAATTGTATTTTATGAACTATTTAAATTGATTATTCATATATAGTTGATAGTTAATATTTAATAATTAATAATTTTTATATTTTATAAT